ACCTTGTTCATGACAGACACCGCGCTGCACTTTATACAACGACGACGACCACCACTACTGTACTGCCATGTCCTGTACATGTACATACTGTACTGCTGCAACGACAATGTTGAGTGATGCAGTTCGAGTCCGAAGCAAGCATGGAAGGAAGGAAGAGAGCGATGGAAAGAAAGGAGAAAGGGACGACGAGGAGGAATCTGGTGGGTAGGTGGGTCGGTGGGGCCTGCTGCTGCTGCTCGAGGGCAAATGGACGCCATGGACCGAAGGCATTTGGGAAAAGGGCCAAAGCGTTGAGGCACAGTGACGCGCCTGGAATTTTCTGCCGGGCGGGCCGGCGCCCTCCTCGAGGCGCACAGTGCCCATCCGACCATTCGCTTGTGTTCGCCTGTCAGGCCGGCCGACGCCATGCCACTGGCCCGGAAGGGACGACATGGCAGCAAGTTGCGCTCTCGAACCCTGCGCCTATTTTCTTTTGGGCCTCCTCCTGTTGCCCTTGTATGGTCCACCCACCTTCCAAACCCTTTTCCCCTTCCCCCATATTTAATCCCCTTTCTCGCGCACCTAGAGTCACGATTTAGGGTTTCCTGATGATCCAGAGTTATTCGATGAGACTACAAAAATATGCACATGATCTCACTTCTATTTATATATATATATATATGACGGAAACACTTGTGCCTATATTAAATTTGAGGCTAAGGATTGTGATAAATATTTAAACGAAAATCATATATGTTGGACGTAAATTTCTACTAGAAGCCGAAGTTTCAAATTAAAACATTGATAATAAAATCTTGCAGGATAAATTATCAAAACACAATGTCTTATAGATTGATTTTATCTCATATCAATATTTTGATATCAGAATAAAATGAAATTATGATTGTAAACTAAATTTGTAACATATGCACTTTACATTAAATTGAATTATTAACAATGTAGACTAGAATTGAACCAAATTTGGAATGAGAAAAATTCCATAATGGCTTTATATGAAATAAAATTAATTAGCATTAAATAAAAATCATACATTTTATTTTAAAAGTTAAATAAAACTAATAAAAATGAAATGAAATAAATTATTTTTCAATCTTTAAATGTAAGCGTAATGTAATGAATAAAAGCTTCAAAATGGTGAAGAAGCAGTTTTGTCTTTGAAGCCATGCACATGAAAATTGTACCAACAATTATTTTTTATGTTAGAAGGACTTTAGAACTTGATTCGATTTTATAAATTTTTTTACGCATATCATAACTTAATTATAATAAAGATTGAGAGAAAAAATTTGATGCATATTTTTTTCATTGATTCAAACAGATCAACATATAAGGCTTTTTACGAATCATGTGTTACAAAAAAACTTTAAGAACAAGAAATCAAATTGATATAATATCTTTATTATCATCATCATTATGATAACTATATCTTTTCCATAAACGTGTTATTTGGCAGTATAATTTGAATGATACTGCTTTATTAGAAAGAACATTTTGAACATTTGAATGTTTAAAAATATTCTAGATCATTGTAAAACTAAATAAAAATTTTTTTACTCTTCAACAATTTTCATTCATTTTTCAGCATCATTTCTAATTTATTGAAATTACCAAAATGATATTAAAATTTCAAACTAAATTATAGAATGAAATAAAATTACAAATAATGCGTCAAAAAATAAAAATTTTAGTTTTCTCCATAATGAGCTATAGCTCAAATACATTAAGTATTAGATTTTCTCTATATGTAAATATTTTCAAAAAATTATTAATTTACATTATCTTTAATATTCATTTTCAATTATATTTTTAAAATTTTGTTTCCAAATTTTCTTACAGTATTTGTTGAATCTATTAATGATTTCATTCAATTTATAAAATAAATTTAAATATATTAAAATTTCACCTGATTAATATTCTTCACTTCTAATTTTGTATCATAAAATTTTACAGAATTTTCTTTATTGTGACTAAATTATTTTCTAATGTATTAAAATTTATACCATGAATATTAATTTGTTAAAAGGTTACTAATTTTTCAGAATAAATTTCATAAAATTGATAATTAATATTTTTCAAATAGGAAAATAATTTTAGAATAAATATATATCTATGTATATCCTTCATAATGTATTCTAACAATAATGTAACTCGGGTTGGTTTTGAAACCAAGAATGATGTTTTCAAATGCTGAATATCATCATCAATGCTAAATTTATATCATAACTCGTTAAGTTAATATAAAATATGATCAAGTTTAAAGTTTTTTCTTTTAAAAATGAAAAAAATATTAATTTTTTTGTGTGTTTATACTTTATTGCACAAAGTTATCTACCTAAAACATAATTTTTTTAATAAATCAAAAATATTTCTTAACAAATACAAAATGTTGATCACACATTCATTGAACACACAAGCAGGTTCGAGGAGTTAAACATGATTAACTACTCAACTAAACTACGTGTGTTCCGTGAACATAGCTTAGCGTAGCTATGTTCACGTAACACACAGTGTTCTTTACTGCGAATCTTAAATTGTGTCATGTGAAGCTTATGCTAGTAGTTTTATGTAGAGATGGCTAACTAGTTTAGCTAACAATGATAAGAGTAACTAACTTAACTCCTTAACCTCAATCACATAATCTCTATAATCAATAAAGTGACATTTATAATTTTTTATTTCACTTTTTAATTATAATCACACTCTAGATTTGATAGAATTTTAATCTAATTTCTGAATATTATGTTCAGAAAAAAGCGAGGATTTTTACATCTATAAAGCCATAGGGACTTATAAACAAACATAGATTGAGAATAGAAAGAACAAGTAACCATCATGATTTGATAGCCGGTCTGAGAATAAAGGATGAATACCTTGTAATTTGTTGGGACATGCGGCGGATGGATGAGTAAGATGGACCAATATATCGTTCAAGTAATTGGAAAGTTTTGGATGTTCTGAACCGACTTACAAAATTTCTTCCCCCATGTATGATGTGAATTTTCAGAATATTTGCAAGGTTTTTTTTTTTTTCAAAAAAGAAAATTCCTCTTAGCACTCAATTTCTGCTTGTCTTCTACATTCATATTGTTCAGGAAGATGTTGTTCGGGGAGAAATAATTTTGTCTGGAATGAGAGGTCTTTGGAGGAGAAAAAGCTGTACAGTTGAGGCTGGGTTTGCTACTAGCCGTGGTGGGTTGCGTGGGCGGTGGCATGGTGCTTGATGCACATGCATACCTATCTCCAACAGATGAACGAGCACCATCGCCAGTCATGATTGCACACTGGACGCTGACAACACCATCCCCTTCCTTCGTAGCTTGTGCTCGTGAACATGAGTACGCAGTTTGGTAACCCAATCTGGTTAGTGGGAGCTTACCGTTGCATGTAGACACTAACTGTAAAGAAAGACTACATTTAGCAGATGATTTAGAAGCTCCTGTAGTCAATAATAGCGTCATTGAAGAATAATCGGCATATTAGAAATGGGAGAACTAACATGCAACTTTCATCAGCGTTCTTTGATCAACTTACTAAGCAAGACATGAAGCAATGAGAACGATTACTTTAGATTATGCTTTGTTGTTGTTAGAAGATTTCATTTGATAGTTTTGATATATAGTTATAAATATTCATATTTTACTCTGTATTATTATTGGAACTAGCCTTTGACTAAGTATTCGGTTTCATTATTATGCAGTTAGATGGTGCACTTTTTTGTTATCAGGTTGGCTCGCTTCAATTGAATACCGAGGCCTTCGCCATTGGGGTGAAGGGTTTTAAGCTTTAAGAACAAGCTCTAAGACAAAATTTCTAATTTGACAACCCTAAGGCGCCCAGTGTGGAGTCAGGAGTTTTTTTCGGTTAGATCAACTAATCTCACAAGGTGTCTTGTATAATAAGATACCAGCAAAGTAGTCCCCACTCTAAAGGTATCATCATTTCTGTTTGACGCCACTCGTAGCAAGGCACTTCATGTTTACCGACAACTCTGACCGGACACAGCATCGGAGAAAGGATGGATGGCAAAAGGGACGTTACTTGTGGATCAAAGCAATCAGCAAGTTGTTCACAGTAATCTGTCTTCCTCCCAACTAATAAAATAATCTCTCACCCTTTTCTTTAAATGTTTTTTCTTCTAGATCGATTGATTATTGTATGCACTTGAGGGTATATTTCTCATTTGTCATGTTATCGGGGGTCTAGTCTCAAGTGCCTTTGGTAAAGCTTGATGGGGTCCTGATTGATCGATTGAGCTATTTTATTTTATCCATTCGGCCCCCCTTTTGGTAGATTGACCCCAGGTATCTATCAGTGTGGTAAATAGGGTCGCATGAACACGATCGCAAAGAGACATATAATCGACACAAACTTTTTGCTTCCGAGATCCTCCTCCTCCTCCTCCTCCTCAGGTTTCCTTAACGAGGGATGGGTCAGAGAAATGCTCCAAGAACCAACCTGAAAACGCCATATTGGGCAGATTTTGTTGATATATGCTCTTGGATTTCTTCGATTGAGGTGGCGATCATCATCTGAGTGGAGTCAATGTTGAATATTGCAACTCCTGGTGTGCGTATCACTGTGACCAGAATGGTAACAGCACGGAGGGACCAGAGTAAAGAAGGGTTGATGAGAGTGAATCACGCAGATCAGATGGTGGGCACTTTGGCGCGCGGGTTTTTCAACATGATCGTCGTCGTGACCTCCAACTGGCAAACATTGGTCGTCTCCGATGCTCGAGGGAAGGTGAAACAGGCTTTGACTCGGAAAGACTTTGGACATCAGAGTGCGGGATGGGACCAGAAGGCTCAGTCTTCGGAGGCGGAAGAAATTCTAGGAAGCTGGTGAAGGACGGGGAATAGAATGGAATGGAATGGAGAGGTGATCCTCCAAGGTCCAAATCCTCGTTCCAAATTGAACGAACGATCGTGGTGTGGGTCGGTTCGAGAGCTCCACGTTGATCACGGCGAGACGAGGCGAGGCCCCGAGATGATGAAGAAGGGAGGGCTGATTTCGCACTGCGCTCGAGACACGCGGCGGACGATCAGAGCGAGGCAGCAGCCTGACAAGTGGAGGAGAGAGGCCGGCATGTCAGAAGCGAAGCGAAGCGGTGCAACCGAGGCCGCCCGAGGAACAAAGAAAGAAGGAAACCGGAGGAATGGGCACGGCACGGAATCCTTCGAGCAAACGACATCGGGCCCGATGGAATCGCGCGCTTGCGCCTTGGCCGGCTTCTGTCAGAGTGCGATGGCCATGCCATGCCATGCCTCATGGACTCGACTGGAAAGTACGCCGACCCCGCCCGTCTCTCTCGTTAGCCCAACCTGAGCACCGAGTCACCATTCGACCGCAGTTCGCTCGCAGCAAGAAGAAGGAGGAAGAAGGAGGCAGGCGATGTTGTATTTCTGTATGTCGAGGAGAAGGGATCGGCTCGAGTCGGAATATTGGATGGAAGGAAGGAACGAACAATGGAGGGGGGCCGACACAAGATGTACGTGGCCGAGCGCAGACAGACAGAAACTCACACGCATGCACATGCTGTCTGCTCTCGCGAGTAATTCGCGCTTTAGGGGCCTACGGGCGAGTGCACTTTTGTGCCCTGCGGTAATTGCATACTTTACTGCGTGACAAAATGATCTACGGCAGGAATTCCAGGTCTTCCACGCGGCGTCAGGTAATCAAGCACTCGCTGCACCCATTTAATGCCCCCACCTTACCGAATTACGCTCCGCCAACTGCTCTCTTCCAGCAGTGATGGGCGTCCGGCCTGCGATTCGTTCGTACGAGGTCGACTATTGATTCGCGAGCGAGGCCCCGGTTTCTTTATCTGCACTCGTTCGTGTCAAACCCCCAAGGCGCAACGAACGAGCAAACCCCAACATTTTTCTTCGCAAGCCCCACACGATGCCCAACAACAATCGCTCTCTTCACGTCAAGCCAGGCTCTCGCCTTTCCCCTTTGGCGCCCGGCCCTCGCTGCCTCCAGCTCGCCCTTGCCAAATCGAGCCCCCCCGCCCCACTTCTCTCTCTCCGACATAGTCTAACCGAGCAAGCCCAGTGGTTCACGGGTGCAATGGGCCTTCCGTTCTGACGAGCTTCATGAGGAGGAGCCGTGCACGCCCCAATCCGCGTCCGAATCCCCATATCTGCACATCCCCATATCGCCATCCTCGCCCTCCTTTTCACCGTATTCCTGCACACCGGCCCTTGCGCCTCGACATGTACCCACCGTCGTTCGTACCTCGATACATCACACTCCTCGTCCGCTCTGCTCTCGGTTTGTTCTGCAGATTTGTCTCTTGCCAGCGAGAATTCCACTGCCGAGTGCCGAGTGCCGAGCCCGAGCCGAACATGATGCGTAATATCATTCGTACATATTTTTCGGCTTCAATATTCTCCGCGACGTAACTCTTCGATTTGAGTCCGGAACGAACTGTACTATGATCCCAGCTGAAGGAAGACTGGGCATTGGAACCTACTTAATGTGCTCGAATGATTTCTCAAATACATCTCCACGATCCTTGCTTCGTTTCTCGACTCTCGAGACCGAGCAGCTGAGCAGCTGAGCAGGTCTGGATTGGACCATCATGTTTCGGATCCGGTCAAACGGACGGACTTCCGCTCCCTTCTATAACTGCACATGCTCCTCACCGACGATGACTGAATCTTGGACCCGACGCTACTGAAATCAACGGCAGAGTACGACACGATTGGTTCTGGGTTGTAGGCAATGGGTTTCCAATTTCGGACTTCTGCTTGACTTGTGTAATAAAATTCGACATAGATCAGATACTTCCGGCTATAAACCACAAAAGCTATTTCATTGTATGTTCGAATTTTTTTTAATTTGTAAATATTTTGTTCAGGTTATTAAGCCTAATATTCCAGAAAATTAAAATACAACATTGATAAAAACTTCATGTATAAATTCTTTGTGGTAATCAGATTTAGCTTTTTGTTAAATTAGCGTATTTCATAAAATTAACATTTGATACCCTTTCGATAATATTGAACCATCTTTATTTTTATTTTTTTGATAAAACAGGTTATAAGTATATTTCTTAAAACTATTATTAATTTATTCTGATCTAAATGATGCCATTTTAGATCAAATGATGATACTTTGTAGGTTTAATTTAATTAATTCAACAGTAAAAAGAATTAACATTAAATATAATTAAAATTGATTAAAATTTACTTATTTTTAAGTTTACTGAAATAAATCCACTTATTTATCAATATATTGAATTAATTATAATAAATGTGACAAAAACATATCATTAGCAACCCTATACAACAAGTAAAAAGTTTGAAGTGCAAATTGTGTGTTGTGTTTTATTGTATGTGACATTAGTTTAAATTAAAATATTATTTGATATAAAATAAGATTGAAATATCATTTAACATCAAAAGCATGATGATAACAAAAGTATGTAAATATAGAATCAAATCATAAACAACATTAACATATCATGATTTAGAGCAAAAAGCGATCAATATGTGATGAATTATTCAAACAACGCATAAGAGTTGATATCAAACATTTGAAAAAATAATGTAAAATAAACTAATGCAATAAACATATACAAATATGAATAATAATTTGTAACAAATTTTTTATTTTTCCAATGCAACAATTAACCATCTATGATAAACACAAAGTTAATTTTAAAAATTTTGGTACGGATTCACATATGATTGTTGTTTTGATGATACATTTTTGATTTAAAATTAATCTATTGTATTTAAGTATTTTTTTATGAAAATTTATACATTTTCAATTTATATTTTTTACCATTTTTGTTCTTGTAATTAATCTTGACATTTGATTCAACAGTAGAAAAAATTTTGGCAAGAAATTATGAGTTATTTAAAATCTTAAAAAATATAGTGAATTCAAAAATCATAATTCTTAAGTTTCTCTTTAACAAATTTGCGTTAATCCCAATGTATGGAAAACTATATTTATATAGCGTTCACGTGGTTGAATCTATTCCGATCAATGATACTTTATAATGCAATTACAACGATACTTGAAAATGCAATTACATAATAAATTGCATTTTTAAGCAAATTAATAAGGCGGAACGTTATCAAAAGCTTTCCTCACGTCGTAGTCGAGAAGCCAATGTACGTCACTCCAACCAAATTGCATTTGTTGGAGCGCCGCTACAACTATCAAGTGTTTGATTAAATCAAATATACTGTAATTAATTTAAAAGTATGCTTTAAATAAATAACTAAGTTTTTATTCAAATGTTTGAATGAGAAAATTTGGTCAAATTTTCAAAATTAACAAAATCTTGATTATTTATCAATAACTTGATCAGATGTTAATTTTTTTGATAATTTATTACTTATAACAATAAAAATAAAAATAACTCATAATTATAATTGAATAATTTTTTTTGTGCTATAATAAAAAATACTGAAAACTCCAATAATTTGTTTCCAACATGAACTGAGAAGAGTGCCAATCACCAAGCAAGCAAGGTTTCATTTTGGAATCGAAGATGTAGAAGTGTTTGGTGAACCAAAGATGTATTTAAAAATTGAACAAATAAAAAAACAAATAAAAATAAAAATAAAAATAAAAATAATTCAAACATAAATAGCTCAAGAATAATTATCTAGCGCCACTTGGTTGATAAAGAATGTGAGATTACTCCAAACCGAAATCCCTTCATCTTTTGCAGGTCTTGTTAAACAGAACCATCCCTAAACTAAGACGAAAATCGCACACATCAAGAAAAAACAATGCGAGCAAGTGAAAGACTAAACTTGAGCAGTCGGGATGGTATTACTTTAGGAAACGAGTTTTATTATTATATTGTTTTTGGAATAAACTCATAATATTTTTATATGTATATATTTAGCCCAAGGCTTGAATAAAAACAAGTCTTTATTCAAGCTTTGTTTTTATAAATATTTGGAATTTTTTCCTAATAATAAATGTGAGTTTCAATTGTAAAAATTATAAATATTTTTTAGTTTTAAATTAAATAAATAAATATACAAAAAATATCAATTATTGCAATATTACATCTCATCTTAAAAGATATTTTTAAAGATTAACACTACTCATCAGCATGTACACATTGAAATTTAGTTAAATCTGTGAATTAAACATCAAAAGCTTTTTAAGTTGTTTTCACTTTGCGTAATGTTATTAAAAATTTGTTGATACTTTAGTTAATTCGAGTAGGATTAATTAATCATAGATAAATTTTAAATAATTTATTAATTGTATGTTCATTATAAAAAGCAAATAATTGTAACATAATTATATAAAATATTTTTATTAAAAATTTAATAATTTTTTTTATCATAAACAAGAATATTCTCATCAAGTATAGATTTTGATGTTTTTTTATTGTAAAAAAAAAATTTGAAATCTATTTTTAACTTGAAATATTATTTTTTTCAAAATTTTATTTATAATCATAATGAACGTGTGTTATATAAAATATATAAACGTATATTTTATTGAAAACATAATTTTTAAATTTTGATGTTATTTATTTTTAAAATATTTTTTATATACATTTAGTAATATTGAAAGGATTTAGAATTTTGGAATGTGGAATAATTTTTTATACTTCTATTGAAATGTATACTTTACTAAAGAAATTTTAAGTTTTATCAATATTATATGACTTCAAAACACTTTTTCATAAATTTTAGCTTATATTGAAATATATATATCAAAAAAACATAGATGTTTGTTTACTTTTAAGATAATGTGTTACTTTTTTCATCTTTCTCACATTTTTAACGAGTTATGACCATTTTATTCAATTTTGTGTTAATTTGTGTGTTTTTTAATTTTATTCAACCACATTATGTTTTCAAATATTCATTTAAATATTTTAAAAAATATTATATTCATTTTCAATTTTAAAGATATCATTACTACTTAAAAAAGAATGATTTTTTATCTTCTTAAAATAATCCTTTTACAATGAATATATGTTTTCTAGAGGTATATCTGAGAACTGTCGTTAATTCATGAAAATATTTTAAAAGTATCATTTTATTTTTTTTAAATATTTCTTTTATTTATATAGTAATTTAATTCTGTAATTTCAAATAAACCAATATTAGCACTCTGATTGATTTTCATCACAAATTAATTTTTTTTCAACAAATCACTGCAATATTTAAAAACATTTTCTAGATATGAATATCATTTGCTCAATTTCTAGAGATTTAAAAAAATGACATTATATGCTAAATATATTTGGGCTTTGTGTAAACTTATCAATTAATGCATTATTTGTATCAACATTAAAAAAAATCAGAATAATCGGCATCAGATATTTTATACAAATTTCAAAAAACATTTAAAATCTGATATTGGTATAAAATTCAAGTAGATATAGGTTCATTTAAAACATATAAATTATTTATGTAAGATAAACAAGGTTGTTATAAGACTGTCAAAATAAATATAAGTTCCAACTCACATCAGATGTCATATATAATAAACTACAAGTCCCTCTGTGCGTTATATGTTGATGAGAAGAAAAGGTGAGAACCACTGGATATAAAATCTCATGTGTGCTGAGCTGAAGTGCACCTTATCATTGAGCGAAAAAACAAAAGGAAAGTAGAGACATAAACTCCTAGTCTGAGTTGTTCGTTAGTATTAGAAAAGATGAGAAGTTTTTTATAATAGATTTAATAGAAATTGTTAGAGCAGGAGTAGTGGCAAGACGACACTTTGTGAGTGGAATAGAGAATAGTATTCCAGATTAAGGGACAAACCTTTGTGTTCCGTGTTAAGTGAACCACCGAACACATAGGGAACAATTTGTGTGTAAAATTCCCGTCCAAGAGGTGCTTGCAGCGGTTTATATTATGGAAGTTCTGCGAGTATTAGAAAATTAGTTTGGTGTCTTGTGAGACATTGAGATAGAAGCTTTCATTCCCTTGATATATTTTTTCATCATAGGTATTTTGTTTTTATTAAAAAATGTCAAATTTATACACTTCTAGTTCTATTGAATTGATGGTAAGCTATACATCAATCTAATAACATAAAGAAGATACTTAAATCAAAAGTGCATTAGTTAAATAAAATTTACATTTTTATAAGAATAAAGTCTGTAAAGTAAATAGATATATTTTCAATTGAGAAGAATAAGCATTGAAGATAATTCTTAGAAAAATTTTCAAAATTTATAATCATTATAAACTTCATAAATTAATTATATAAGATTTAAAAGTTTTAGAATATAAGATTTCTTAGCTTTTGATATAAAAAAAATTCAAAATGCAAATAGACTAAAAAAACTTGGCTTAATCTTTAAGCAAATAAACTTTATATCCAACAATAAGAATTTTTTTCATTTTCTATAATGATTTTAAATCAAAAAAATATTTAAAAGATTATACATTATAAATAA